CCTCAAAGATTTTAAAAAATGTCAACTACCATATAGTTTTCGACAATAGGCATGGTGTTTTTTTAAAGCTCTCCTGAAAAATTGACTTGAGAAGAGTTAGAGCCTTATAATATGAAGCAGCGATATTTTAAAGAGTTGTTAATTTTTGATCTGAAAATGCTTAAAATTGATGTATAATTATCTAAATATCTGATTGCTTAATATTTAGTACCTTACTTATTAATTCTTCCATTAATCTCGCCAACCACTAAGACAAATTGAAGCAACAAACTCAATAATTATTGGTATAAGAATCAAGGTTAATGTTTCCAAATTTTTGGTTGACTTCACGCTTGTTTCTATTTGTTGTTTGGTAGAATGCTTAAAGAGAAAAACGCATTATTGGAAAAATAATACAAAATCGTCAATTTTGGCATAATACCAAAATTACAGAAGCAATAAATATCTGTAACGCTAAATATGCAATTCCTGGTTAGTACTTACTAATCCATCAATCTATTCCAGTTAATAAAAAAGATAGTTCCAAGCGAAATAAAAAGTTTACATGCTTCCTCTATTCAAAATAATTTTAGGCATTATGATATTACGATCATTGTGGACTTTTTGTTCTTTTCTGTTAAATATATAATTAAGATAGTTAACATTATATTTTTAATCGAGTTATATTTTCAATAAATTTATATAAATCTGAATCTTATTTGCACAGTTTTAAACAGGAAGTGCCATTGAAAGCCTCCAAAGCTTCTAAAATGTAATGCACAACAAGAAAATGAGACTCAATGTTTTTAACTGTAGCTTGATACTTTTATAATTTAGTAACATTGACATACAAAATATCATTAAAAAATGTGATATCAAAGTAAGATGGCGGTGAAATTGAAATGCGATTCCATAAGAACTACAGCGTCTTTGGGGAAGTGTCCCGTTTTCCAATTTTTTAAAAATATTTTTCTTGTAAATATTTGTAAAAATTTAATTACAAAAATTGTGTCTATAGTATTGTTTACTCGCCGATTTATTATAGGATTTTCTCTACTTTTAATTGAAGAATAAATTTCTGAGATAATTTTTTAGAAACTTAAGAAGGGGGTTTTATCTATTTAAAAGAGATGAAAGCAAATTTTTGTTTAGATGTCAATATAAAAGTACTATAAAATCAGTATTTTTAACCTATCCATTGTTCACATAGGGGAGGGATCAACCAAATTTTTGTTTAAATGTAAATATAAAACTATAAAATCAGTATTTTTAACCTATCCATTGTTCACATAGGGGAAGGATCAACCCATATACCCTCTATATACGCCCCTGATGGTTCTATATGTCATAATAATATTTCTGCATTCTTTTATATATTTTCTACTTTTGAATAAGAATTAGCTTATAATATTTGGTATCACTTTAGATCATTAAAAGAGAGATTCCATGATAGGTGGATAAGTTCGCATGGAACTTGAATATATACTTAAAGACTTTTAAATTATTTAAATTAGCGAGAGGGCGAACGACAAATTTTATATTTATTATAAATATTTTTTCCCAATCATTTGATCACGCTTGTCAACCATAAGCCCTGTGCTTCATTAAAAAACTCAGAAAAAATAATTACTCTTAAAACTAAAAAACTCGAATAGGGTATTTTCACTCTGGTACTTCAGGTCGCCAAATTTAGTTTCCTTTAGTGGCTAATTTAATTCCAGACTATGAACTTGTCATTTTCCTCCTAACCAGGGATTTTTAAAAATAAGTTCCTCTTCTTTTTCGAATCTAAACATCTTTTCGCATGAAAGAAAGGAACACAGATTTAACAAAGTCATTCTTAATTCCTTTATTCTCTTCTGCCAGATGAACTCGAGGTTTATACAAATTTATAATAATACTGTTAGTAGATAGACAATTTAATTTTAATAATTAATATGTATATTTTTAAAAGGTCCAGTAGCTGCTGGTGTTATAGGACATAAAATGCCTAGGTATTGTTTGTTCGGAGATACCGTAAATACTTCATCAAGGATGGAATCTAACGGAGAAGGTTTTAAATAATAAGTTAATATCAAGATATATTATTAGGAATGCTATATAATTTTGTTTTTTAAGTTCTCAAAATTCACGTCAGCCCGTACACAAAAACCTTATTAGAAAAATTTGGAAATTTTGAATTACAAAGTAGAGGTGAAATAAAAATCAAAGTAATCCGATACTCTTGTGCTTAAACCCTAATTAGTAATTATTTTATTACAGGGAAAGGGATTAATGCGCACTTATTGGTTATTGGGCGAAAAAGACAGCGAAGGAAATTATATAAATTTTGGTCTTGATCATTTACAAACCAAGAAAGGCATAGTCAAAAATCAATCCAAGGAGGGAATCGAAATAATTAAGATAGGACAGTCACTTTCCACTGAACGAAACAACAGGGCTTACGAGGAAGGCGTCAAACAATTGATAATGACATGTATTCCACAAAGACGAATAAAGTTAATAAGGATCGCAAAAGAAAAATGTCAATATAGATATGAATGAAAAAAATGTTATATTTAAAAACATCCGAAAAGTCTGTAAGAAAATTTATGGGAAAAGAAAAGGTTGAAAGTACTCGCGTTTAATTTTAAATCTAATCATCGCCTAAAATTGGATTAAAAGTTATTACTTTCAATAAACTTGAATAAATGAAAGAATTATTTTAAAATAATTTAAATTAGATCGGCTGGTTACCAATGAATTTTAATTTATTTGACCCCATTTAATGATGGAAATAAAGTTAGCCCCCACATTCATTATATCTTAATAGTTCTCAAATAATAATTCAAAATTAATATACAGAATTGCTGCAAGTAATAAATTTACTATTTTTAATGTTGTATTACTCTACAATGATTACAAGTATACCATCAAATTTTCCCAACTTACTTTAAAAAAAATAGTAATACGGTTTAGGTTTTTGATTGATGATGCAATGAAATTGCAGTTTTATATTTAAATTTTATGAAAAGATATAATTTCCTGAAGAGATTTAATTTTATAAAAAAAAGTAACATATGGTTTTTTCAAATATTATTAAAAAGTTAGAATACCCACCTTAAAATTATAATTCCATTATTAATCCTCTTCCTCATGTTTAGTAAATATTTTATTTGAAAATATTTAAATAATATTAGTAGCAGAGCACTTATATCAGATTTTTTTATCATTTAAAATGAATTCGAGTCATTATATCCTCTTATTTTATTTTATTAAAATCTCATAAATGAAAATTTTAAATTCGATAAAAAAAAGTAAACTATTTTTTTAAATTATTATCTTATGTTAAATTAGATTTTTATTTATAAAAAACATATTTATGACAATGAATATTACTTCGCAGAATTAAAATGTTAAAATGGATCCGTTCAACCAGGTCTGAGAATATATCTGTCAGTCTGAGTCCAGCCAACCTCGAATAAGTGGGTGCAGGGTTTAGGGGGAATAGATTTAGGAGGTGGATGCAAGCACATACTCAGAAATTCGGTATGGTGGGGGGGGGGGTAACTAAAAAAAATTTAGAATTATTCTGGGATTTATAAAGAATTTAAGTCAGAAAGTGAATATAAAATTTTACAATTTCTAATACTCAAATTTAAAATGTATATAATCGGGATTATGAATCACTATATAAATAAATGTCTCGATAAATTTTTTAAGCATTTAAAATTTTTTATATAAAATTTTTATTTTTCTTAGAATTATTGCATATATATAAACTTCAAAGTATTCATGAAAAAAAAAGTATGGTATAATAAAAATGGGTAAAAATATAATGATTATAAATTTATAATGTGAAATTCAATCTTCTTTGGGATTGAGCTAATTTTTCAATGATTTCATGAGCTTAATGTCAAATCCCTATGTATATTAAGAAGGGCTAACCCATCAAGCTATTTTCAGATGTATTATTTCTCAGTTCTCAGGTATGTTTTTAATCTTGCTAAGTAGAAATAATTATGGGTAGAGTTGCCAAAATGTATAATAATTTATATATATATTAGAAAAATAGTCTAAAATGTGTTTGAAATTAAGCGAAGCTTCTTTATCATTTTTGGAACATTATCAACCATACTTACCTTTTTATACCATAGTTTGCATTAGGCTAGTATTTTATCACAATAAAAATCCCAAATATTTAATTCTTCCTCTATCAAGATTTAAAGTAGATTCGGAAGGATTCTGCGGTAATAATTTGCAGATTTGTAGATGCTGCTGATTAATATATTTGAGTTAATAAAGAATCCAAGAGGGAGAATTAAAATTTTATAGTAATTCGACTGACCCTATATTAATATTGGAACGATGTACTTGCCTTACCGCGAGTTTAGGTAGATAAATTTAAATTCATAGAGCTCTACTTTTGTCCCTTCAATAACATTATTTATGAAATCCGTCATCTACATTTGCTCTAATTTTCTTTTAAGTTCCTATATAATGCTTTCAGCTATTCTTTTTGTTTCAATCAAATCTGATATCATTTTGAAAATATGAAATGAAAAAAAATTAAATAAATATTCTATAATAAATAGTTTTGTTGAACATAAATTACATAGTGAATGAGCCTCAATTTTTTTTAGAATTTTGGATTTGGCAAAAATCAGCTATATTTTTTTTATCAGTAAATAAAATATAATGTTTTTTATTAAATAATAAGTCTCATATCAATTTTGAAAAAATAATAATTTTATTGTAAATATTGACCCTTATAATGGGATTTCCATTTTATTTTGAAAACTATAAAATTTATCTACATTATAATATTTCACTTAAAATGGGATTTAGATCGAGGTAAAATAGTAAGAGTTAGATAAAAAAAAAATTGTTAGATTAATTAAAATAAAATAATGAGAGAAAAAAAAAGCCAACAATTCTATTAAAATACGCAAAAAAGAGGTTTATACTAACATTTTTTATATACTGAAAAATATTTATGATGGATTTAAAAAATACTGATAAATATTTTAAAATAGTGACCATTACAAATAGAAATAAAATTGTCCTTCTAAAGTAGAGGATGAACGGCTATGTAAGCGATGACATGCTTTGTCTGGATAAACGGAAAATTTTACCACCAGGCATTATTCCTCAAACTTATGATAAATTAATAATGGCCCTTGAGAAAAAACAAAGATTATCGCAAAGTCCATGCCATAAAAGGATATTAAACCATGCTATTAAAGATTTTGATCGATCAAATATATCAAACGGCGATAAAGCTTTTCGTGATAACCTAAATACACATGTACCAAAAAATAGTTTCCAACCTCTGAATCATATTATAGAAAAGGCGAGAAATAATACACCTTATATCAAAAATGTCACATATAATAAAAATTATTTGATTGGAACAGATAGAACTTATTTAAATAGAAACAACACCTATAAGGATGCTGAAGATATCATTAAAATTAATGAAGAAGATACTAATTTTGAGTCTCAAGATGGCTTTTATGACTTTGAAAAAGAATTTTACAACGATTATTCCCAAAATCATTTAAATCCTAAAATCATAATCGGAGCTAATAGATTTAAGTTCGACATAAGTGACAATAATATTTATAACAATACTCACAAAAATAATGTATACATTGATGATAAAAATGAATCAGAAAAGGAAAATAATGAGACATTGTCTAAACATTTTCATTCCTTATCAAATAATGCAAACAATTCTATAAAATCATATAATTTAAATTTACATAAATCACCGGTTTTCGGTACGATACTTTATAGCAAATTGAAGCACGAAAATAATAAAAAGGATGCCAATATGATTGAGATGAAACCTGCAGATGCAATGTGGCACGAACCTCTTTCCAAAAAATTCAAGTGTCGAAGGTTTTCAATAGCTAATTACAGTTTTAATCGACCCGATATAATTGATTTTGTTTATAACGACAAATTATCTTTCAATTCAAAGCCCATGTTTAGTTCTCAAGCGAATCTTATTCCCTACGATGAAAGTAAACTTAAAAAATTATTTGAAAAAACAACAGTGTAATATTGAAATTACAATTCTTCTTTAAAATTAATCCGATAAGTTGCATTTTTTCCATTTATATGATATTACGAAAACGTTCCATCTGTTTTGTCCAAAGGTAAATATCAGAGTTTTTATCTAGATATAAAAATGTGATATCAGTATCTGTATATAGATATACTTTTATAAATATCTGCATCTAGCTACTATTTTAAAGGTATTGTTATCTAGATGCTATTCTAAAAGTATCGGTATCTATTTTTAGATAGATTTGATATAATTTTATTTTAAGTTTTTTTATATTACAAAATAATAATTGAATTGAATTCATTTAATGATATGTCCGACTTTATTTTACAAAAACAAACCAGGCAAATTTTATTTTAATGAATGACGATAACATGGTAAATTTTATATTGTAATTTATTTTATTTATATTAAAGACAATCTCTAAAAAGAAATCCAATAATTTAATATTAGATTTTTGGGGCACCCTCAGATGATATGAATATTGATTACACGCTTATCAAATTTTGAATAATTTTTTTTAAAAATGAGTGTCGGGATTTTATATATTTAATGATCATACCATTATAAAGTTGTTATTCATTAAATATAACAACCACTTGCCGTCAAGTGCCCCTGTAGAAAGAGTTTAGTTTGGCTAAAAATGTCGTTAACAGATAAACGGGGGTTCATTACTGATAAAAATTTTGAAGAATCCTAATAAGTATAATAAAATTTGGTAGTTAAATTTGTAAAATGTGTCTGTATCTTTTAGACGATGTATGGGTATCTGGATCCATATGAAAAGTTTCTTTTTATAAACTCTAAAAATTTAAACAAAAAAATTAAAATTTTTATTTTGTTCTTATAATAAAGTTCATTGAGTTAACATTAAAATATACGTTAAATGCGTAGCGTGAACATATGTTATGCATATTTGTAAAAAAAAACTTATTGCGTATTTTCATCCGATAAAATTATAAAAATTAAATATGATTGGTGGTAAATATATATAATAGGAATTTAAAATAGGGTTTATAATTATAATAGCTAAGTAATTATGCAAAAATCGTTAAAATTAAGCTTTATATCTCTTCATTGAACCCGGCCTCATATATCTAGACTGGCTCATAAAGGGCTAAATAATATTTAAAAAATCCCTTCTTGGCCGCGCCTATCTTATTTTCTATTCCACTTTGAAACCATTTACGAAAAACAGCTATAAAAAATTATTCAAAATGACTAAACTTTAATAACCTGGGTAGAATTATCATAATTTTAAAAACCTGGAGAGGGCAAAAATTAAAACCTTGAGACAGGCTAAAAAAAATTTAAATTTGAGCCGGGTTTGGAAATAAGAATTATCCGGGCCAGGCTTAAAATTGTTTAAAATTTCAGTTGTTCCTTTTAAATTTATTTATAACATACAACAAAATCTTACATTTAGTTTTGTAATATTTATATGCGAAAAAGTGCGATAACTTAATTCTAACATTTTTTTGAAACTTTGATGCAAGAAATTAATTGTTTATATACAAATTTTATATAATAATTTGGCCATAGATATTTGGTTTATGCTTATTTAAGGCTCGGTTTATTTGCATATTGGTTTATTATAATTAAATGAATTATGTATTAAAGAAGAATATAAGCCAAAAATGGGATTAATTTACTTCTACCCCTATTTTTTATTATATATTTTTTTAAGAATAGGTATTAGAACTTTTATTCAAAATCCGATATAATATTTTTCGGTAAAATATCATAAGGCTTTTTAGAGATAATTTAGTGTGATCAATTAATACTCTGGGATTTAAATGTGCAATTTTAATAGAATAAAATTTCTTGTTTTATAAATTTATTACAATACATGAAAATTGATAATTAAAATTATTAGTTAAATAAAACTTTTAGTATACTTGTAAAATTGACTCTATCTTTGACATTAATATAAAGATAAAAATTCGTTTTTTTATCATAATTATTTGAAATGTTATAATATAGCACAGCTGATGTTAAAATAAAATTTATATCCCAAATAATGTTGCAATGCATTGTTTTTTGAACAACCGAATTTTTTACAATTTTTGATGAATAAAATTTTATAAATTATATCTATAAAACTTATGTAAAAATCTTATTTTTAAATCATAGATTTATTGATAGTTCCATTTCAAAGGTTTTTCAAAGTCGATGAGAGTTATAAAGGCGTATACTATGTTGAAAAATAACCAAAAGTTAAAAAAAACCCTTAATATAATTTATGAAATTTATTTGAAATGCATAAACACAGCTATCATTCGATTATAATAATGATCATAGAAAAAATCATCAAAAATCTAAATAATTTTTAAAAAATATGCCTTCGTTACCAAACGTTTTCGAATTGCCCCTGTATCTACAAGATGCGTTTGATTACAATATTGCGCACGCAAACGTAACGAATTCTAATAGCAAAAATGATAATAAAACTTATTATAATAATCAACATAATAGATTCACCATACCTAAGACAAAAGGTTCACCTATAAATCTAAAGGGTTTTAATGAACCTAATTTGAATGGGATAAATAGTAATTTCTCCTTCGATCAAAATGATATTATTCAAAATTCTAATCGTACTCATTCAGGAGATCATTATTCATTACCTTTTCTTTCTCATTCACAGCCAGGAATCGAAAATTTTGAATATGATTATACCAAGATCCCTAGAAGCCCTGACAACTCAAAAAACATTGAACTTGTGGATGATTATGAAATTATTAATAATTCTGTTTTATTAAGTCAATCTAATAAACTCGCCACACTGCCAAAATTTAAGGCAACAAGTCATTATAAACCAAGTAACAAATTTTTGCAAAAAAATTTAAAAGAGGGGAGATATTTTTTTAAAAAATACACATGGTGGAGAGAGTTTTATAATATCTATGGGCCAATTAAGAAAAACTAAATATATTGTATTTTTCACCGATAACTCCATATGATTGTAAGGAAAAATTACTTAAAAGCGCAAAAAATTGCAATTTGAATTTCTCAATTCAATTTATAATTGATTAACTTAATTGAAAATAAGGATTTAAATTTGCGGATCTACCTTAAAAAGCCTCAGAAAAACGATCCATCATCTGGCAGACTAGTTTCTATAAAATTTAATGCTTGTTGATAAAAAGTGATGTATAAAAATTTTGAAAAAATTAGCAAAAAATCTTTTAAAAGCTGGCCTAAAGATTTCCAATAAAGTTCATCGGGGAGGTTGGGTGAGGTGAAAATCTTCCTCCATAAACCCCCTCCCCCCCCCCCCCCGGAAAATCCTGAATAAGCTGATGAGGACGATAACAAGTTATCTCTATATTGAAGACAATTATAGATTGGAAAATACTGGAAAATCGTATAATAGATCATTTAATATATATTTACTGCTCATATTTACAATTTCCCCTTTAAATAAAGCAATTTGCAAAATACAGCCAAAGCCAATGATTAAAAATAACGAAATTTTTAAGTATTCAGGGAGTGGGCAAAATATTAAGAATAAAAATTCGAACCGGGCAAAATTACTTTTTAAAAAATTCTGAACTAGACCTGATAATAAAATCTCTTTTCTACAGGCCGAGTCATGAAATTTTGACCACTGTAAGTCTCTGGTGTAGAGTGTATTACTATGTAGATAATATATTTAAATTTATATAAAATATTAGTTTACTATGTTGTTAAGTTGATTGTAAAACCACTTTAACTGAGTCGTCATTCCTTTCCAAACATTTTATATTCTAAAATGTTCCGGAAGAGATGACTCGATATCTGAAGGCTAAGACCAGGTCTGAACTCTTTTTTTTGAATATGTTAGACCTATGAATGCTTTATTTTTTAACGCTGTGGGTCTATTGGTCTATTAAATTTATATTAAAATATTTGGAAATAAATTAAAATTGTCTGAAATTGATAGCGTTGTAGGTATTATACTTATATTGAAATACATTTTCAGCAAGATCAAATTTTTGAATTTAAAAAAAACGCGTTCAAGAAATTATTCAAAATGTAAGAAATATCGAACTATCGCCTTACCAAAATTTCATATCATTTCAATGTTTGAAAAAAAATAACTCAAATAAATGATTATAATTAGAAACTCTTTATGCTGTATGTGGGATAGAATAGGCCTCCAATTACTACACCTCATTAGCTTGGAATTTCTGTAATGATAGAGGTTGGGGGGGGGGGAGTATATATGGGAATTAATTTTGCTTGAAATGTTATTTACGAAGCTTTGCAAATTTTTAAAATTTCCCTTCCATTTCCCTTGGTGTGATGCCAATGTTGACACTTACTTAATACTCAAAAATATTTTAAAATTATTTTTTTTATGATATAATAAAATAGTCATTTAACAAAAAATAATATTGCAACGAATTAATGAAAATGTAATAATTTGAGTCTGGCCTTCATAATAATCATACAACACGATTCAATTAAACTTTATAAATAGCCAAAAAAAATAAAATAACCACCTTTCTTTTTATTTATATATATCAACCTATTATAAATTTTGATTGTAATTATATATTAGCGATTCAAATTTTTTTTAATTAGTATATCTTTATAAGTATATAACTAATAAAGCAATTTTTTTATTAATAAATAGATATATGGAAGCCTAATTCCCATTCTTCTCAATCTAATAACGCACTGCATAACGACAATGGTTCGATAATCAGAAAGGAATCTGATATGAATACCAATAGTACGGTCAAGAAAAAACTATTTGACTATTTTCAGTCTTGTAACGATATCCAATCCCCTATTAGACAAGTATCTATGAATAAATAATAAATTTAATGGTATTATATATACATATATATATATATATATACTAAGTAATTTATATAGAAATTAACGAATACAATTTAAACAAAAAATTAAAATTTGCAATTTTACCGAAAATATGATTAAAATAATTTAATATTAATAAAAGAGATTAGTATTTAACACCAACACAGGAACAAAGTTTTATTATTTATGCTTAAATTAAATTTAATGTTAAATGAACTAATTTTAGAATGCCCAATAAGTAGGAGAATTTTTTATGGGGATCAATAATTATCTATGGGAAATAACCCCCCTCCCCTTATTTTTGATTTTAGCCTCCTTTCCAAATTTTGAGGAGAAGCTAAGCCCCCCCTTTCCCCCGCCAAATTGTTTTATTTTTTTTCTAAAGTGTTAAATTTAAATCCCTTTTCTCTTTATAATTGTTATAAAAATTAAAATTTTTATAGTCAAAATCTTATTCACATTTTTTTATAGCCACTTAGAAAATAGAGAAGCAAAAATATTTTTTAATGTTTTTATTTTTATAGGAATTTTATCGCCTCAACTTCTGCTTTATTTAAAATATAGAAGGTTCACCATCAACAAATATTGATGATAGCTCTATTTGCAGGTTTTGAGCCAACTTTAAAAAGGCTAAACCGAATGTTTAAGCATAAAAATATCATCTTAGCCTCGCTCGAGGTTGAAACTAAAGGATAACTCAATCTTTAAAAAAATATACCATTGCCTCAAGGCATAGCGAATTTTTTCGACTGTTAGGATTGAGCCAATTTAACAACACTAAAGGCAAGTAATGCTCCAAATTTAACAAAATCTTTTAAATGTTGAAATAGGAATTTCCCCTCACACTCCCCCCTCCCCTTCAAAAAAAGAAAATTGCTTCTACCCACTTTTTCATGTAGACGCCTTATGTAGGTAAATATTTACTGATGTCTCTCGATTGAGAAATTACATTATTTAAAAATGTATTCTATTAAAAAAAATCCAAAACTTGTAAAATAAAAAATAGACCAATTTATAATTACTTTAGAATTTACTCGTAGTCCCGTTTAATTGTATGGCTTTGAAAACGAGCTTAAGATATTTATTTTTCTGATATATTATTTATTGGCCTAAGAACAAAGATTCATGAATTGGCGAGAAGAAAATATAGAATCTACCAAAGCTTCAATAAGTGAATATGAAAGGATTGCTGAATACATTTAAAAAATTCCTTAACTCTGTGGATAATTTATGCAATTGCAGAGTGTGGAAGGGGTTTTCATCTTATGATTTTGATCATGGTAGATAAATGAGCGAGTTTAAGAGTAAATAATTTGTCAAATTTAATGTTCTTAAATTATTAATGGACCTTAGATATCAGAATGCATCCAGATCCATGTATCAAAATAATCATCGCGGGGGAATGAAATCTTTTCAGAGAAAAATACAGACCAAAGAAAACGAAGAAATAAAAGATTTATGGAATTTTTTAAATTTATATGCATTTTTTAATTTTTATAGATATCAGTGGTATTTTATAACCTTGTTTTTAAAACATAATAAAGAATTTATTCATATTTATGATAAAATACATGTCATATTTTTTTATAATATATAAAAAAAAAATTAAGCAATACACCACTGATTATGACATTCTTTTTGTTATCCGGGGCTTGAAGGGTGCTCAAATTTTCAAATCTCATAAACAATATTTAAAAAATTTTTGATTCATATGATTTGTGTTTTCTAAAATTTTTAAGGGGATTAGATCTCCAACATTTTGATTGGGCTTGACCAAATCTCCTCCCTAGCGACGCCTAAAAGGGAATATTTAAAAAAAATTTAAATGGCTTGCTTTTCTGTCTCTAGCTCGTATTTTTTTTTAAGTGTGCTCTAGATGTGATAAGATTAAAGATTGGTGCGCCTAGCAAGCTTTTATCCCAACCTAAAAACTCCTCTGATCTGCCCTTTTTTATAACTTTTGTTAAGTGTAATCTAGTTAAGATTTAGATATTTGGCAATCAAATCTAAAATGTTAGTCGTTGAGAAGCCGCGCCATCTATTTATGTTTATTTTTAATAAAAAAAATATATATCCCCTTCCCCCAGTCTTCAACTAATAATTACCATTACAACAAAGATAATCCTTTTAGAGGTGTGAAAGGAGATAACGAAGATTTGTCTATACGTGATAAACTTAATTCCATTAATTTCGAAAAACTTGGACCAGAAATATGGGAATACAATAAAAAAACTAATGAATTATCTGACTCTGCATCCAAACTTGGATTTTATAGCGGAATAAATAAAAATATGCATGTCATATATCGCAACGGGAATGATAAGCTTCAACCTATAACATCTTCAGATTTTAATAAATCTTTGAATGAGAAAATATTAAAAACAACAATTAATCATGATCCTAAGGAGGCTACATGGATGGGCCATGATGATAAAAAAAATTCTGCCATAAATATAACTCGAAAAGGAACAGGTTTTAAAAATAAAAAATTTTCATTCTTTTTTAAATAGCTTAAGTTATTATTTTTGAGGAAAACATGCTTAATTTAATACATCAAAAAGAGCTGGATTTTTACTATTTGAATGTTAAACTAAAGTGACGATATTTCACCTAGAAGTTGGCTCCACCTAAAAGCCTTCCCTGACTTTGCAAAATATTTTTATTGCCCGGAATTTAGGTTAGAGAAAGTAAGTCACCTGAGTAAAAGTTTTAATTAAATCATGAACATTCGTCACTTGATTTATAATATAGGGTGGTGCGATTAAAGTGACACCCTTTTCACTTCATAACTCCATCATTTTTTAAGGTTTTTTACGAAATTTTATAGAGTGATAAAATTACTTGTTCTTAATAATACACAAAGTTTTATTAATTTTCCTTAAAAGGTTGAAAAAATATGCAACTATTTAAAATAAAAAACCAAACGATTTTTTCGGATAATACTAATCGATACAAAAAAATATGGTAGTTTAATTAAAATTTTACGACAAGAGCTACATATTGTGTAAACAATTATTTTTGTTTCATTACTTGTAATGAGTCAAGAGGACCAACCAGGCACCTATAAGCAGGGTTGAGAACGAATTCGGGTTCAGAATTTTAAAATTGTTTGGGCATTTTGGGATCACAGACCAAACAGAGATGGATGTATTGGCAACTCATTAAACCCGGCTTAATATGGGCCTGGGTAATTTAGAACCTCTTTTAGACTATCGGTTTCTATTAAATTCCTGTCATCAAAATTTCTCTAAGAGTTTAGACTTCCTGAACCCGAATTCTGGTTCACAACCCTGCCCATAAGATGATTTTTCAAATATCCAGAGAGATTAATTACGGCTATAATGTTTAAGGAAGAAAACCCAACATCTTACAACTGAAAATAAATTTGCACGTTTGATTTGTGCTAAGAAACTTTTGGGTAAATTGAATCCAGGTTTGATTTATTTTATTTGGTTTATCGAAGAGCGATTTACTGTGACACCTGTTAATTTACAGAATGAAAGGCTTTATGTTACATTCGCCACAAAGAGAAGTCAGCGCTAATAGACTCTTCAGATTCTATTCAAACTTTTAAAAATGTGTCATGGTTTCGATTGGTGTTTCAAATTTTGGCAACACAACTCATTTTTATCGATCAAGGTGTTAAAAAAAGGGATCTTATTACAGAGATTATCTATAGACAACTTATTGCCAACAATAAAGGATTGTCTGGAGTATTTCCAATTTCACCAATACAATACACCCGCTCACCGTGCCTTTGAAATGCTAAATTTGCTAGAACGCAAGAAACCGGACTTCATTCCTCCATCGTTATGGCGTCCAAACAGCATTGACCTCAACAGAGTGGGTTATGATATTTGGGGTATTCTGTAGGAACGTGTGTTACCACAATTAATTCAAAGATGTTTACCACTTTAAGGCAGGGTTTTTAGAAGAATGGAAAGTTTGATCAAGCGATCATAAACAGTGCTATAGGAAAATGATGAAATCGTCTTCGCGCATGTGTACAAGCTAAAGGAGGTCACTCTGAAAATACTTTGATGTGATTTTTCGTAATGTTTATTATTTTTTATATTAAATCTAAACTTTAATAAATTGAAATGTGTTATTTATATTTATATTTTCTATTTATTTTTAAATATAGTTGCATATTTTGATCTTCTAAACTTATTATGAATAATTACAATTTTGCAGAATAGTTAGTTATTTTATACTCTATGAAACTTCGTAAAAAATATCTTAAAAACTGACGGAGTTATAATTAGGTGAAGGGTGTCATTTCATCGGACCACCCGATATAAGGGCCTTTATGTTCTCTGATAAATTCAAATAAAAGATACCTATCAACAATATTGATTTATACTAATTAACCCTAAATTCCATACCTTTTAAAAAAACATTCACAGAATCATTACCGAATTATAGTCCCGAACTAACTACTAAACGTGATAAACGTAATCCAAATCAAATTCTCGAGTACAAGTTAATTCCTAATCGTTTTTCAAACATCGAATGGGACCCTACGAAAAATAATATATGTGAAAATCTTATTTACTCGACATCTTCCAAGAGTAGTCTAGGCCTTTTATTAGAAAATGGTATTCCGATAACTACGAAATCGGTAAAAATTATTATCACATTTTTATTGGTCGTAAGCATCCCCCTGAAAAAATGTATATTTCTGGGTCAACAAAATATCTTGTAGCTGGGGGTTTCTTTTAGGCTCCAAAAATATGTTAGGTAACCTAGGCTCGTTTATTGTAGAAAATAATTTATTTTAAATGAGTGAATACAAAATCTAGCCATTTTAATATATTATTATTTATTATAAACTTAAAATTCATTAAACAAAAACATCTTCTATGTACCTAAAGTTAACAAATTCAGGGCTAAGCTTCATAGACCAGGTTTTTAGGAGATTTAAAAAAAACTTAAATCGTTTATAACGTGCCCTTTTTGAAGAAATTTTGCCAAATGTTCCAGCAGATGTTGGAAATTAATTCCGGTATAATCAGGTCCTTGAAAATAAAAAAATTGCGGTATTAATAAATTATTTATTTTAGAATTTTATCTTTACAATATATAAACAGAATCTATTTACTATATTATAATAATAAGAGATCTGAAAAAGTAGGCCCAGCTCGAATCCGGCTCGACCCCAACGGGCTTCGGGCCTATTTTTTAAAAAGAAATCGGTTTTGGTCTGTGCCGAGCCTAATATTTTTTTCGGGCCTGTACGGGTCGGGTTTTGGAAATTTTTTAATATATCTAAATTTATTAATTTTATGTTGAATTTTTAATGTAAAATAATAATATTTGATTTTATTTATAGAAACTAGACGCCATATAACATATATCATTTATTTTGAGAATTATAAAAATTAATTTCTATATTTAAATAAATTCTTTTTTTAAAAAAATTTGGGTTCGGGCCGGGCCGGCAAAACTTTTTAAAAAATATTTCGGGTTTGAAAAATTAGGCCCGATGCAGATTACTAATATTAATATTGTACGGGATTTAATTAATAAAGATACAAGAAGGGTGCATCCAAAGTAAAAAAATTTTTGAAACTTTCTTATATCTATTATTGAAATATACGAAATCAAGTTTGGAAATGTATAAATGTGAGAATTATTTTTTTGAGCGCATCAGTTTGATATATTTAAATTTAAAATGGAAATGTTCCTTTTTGAATTCATGCTTCTAAAAATTTAAACAATATTACTATTATAAAATTTAATTTTCAATTCGATTTTTTGATAGATGGCGCTAATTAAATATTATAATAATTTTGGAAATTAAAGTTGCAATTTTAATTATTTTAAATTAATTAAATATTTTGTTAAATATAGTGAGACCTATTACTTGTGACCGCTTAAAATATCCACACGAATTTTTATACTGTTTAAATTCATCACGAATTTTTATACCAATTTATTCAAATAAATTTTAAAAAGAACTTCAAAAAAAAAATACAATAATAATATATCATTAAAATAGTCTTTTGGACCCCAAAAACTCCTGGTATTCATACTCCCCCAGCCTCAACTATGGTATCAATGATGATCTTGTCCGCAGTACCTCCTGCGTATCTCTCTCCCCTTGTCCTTGTCTTTGCATTGGTTGCATCCATTAATGTTCTCTTGGGCACCATCTTCTTATATTTCCCGTAGATCCACACCCGTAGCACAAGGCTATCTCCCTAGCGTCTCTCCTCGATTCCATTCTAGTTCCTGCTCCTTCTATCTTCGAACTGCTGGTGTTGCTAGCGAATACTCTTGTGCCAGCGTTCGTTATTCACTCGCCAACGGCTCCATGTCCCGACTGATAATGGTTGTACCAAGTGCGTTCCCAGGTCAACATTAAGTAGAATTTAAACTATAACATCAAATTTATAGGACTCGTTAGCAATACTTGCAGTCTGAACCATAGGACGAGCAGGAGGCAGAACTCAATCGATGAGAAAGGCCAGGGATAGCCTTGTGATACGGATCTTGGTCTACGGGACATATCAGAAGATGGTGCCCAAGAGAACATTACGTGAGCCAAACAACGCAAGGACAAGAGCAAGAGGAGACAGACGCGCAGGAGATACCTCGGACACGATCACCGTCGATACCACAGTTTTCACTGAAATATTAATTTAACATGTTTACAAAACATATTTTTACCCATTTACTTTAAAAAAACTCAAAAAAGTTCAAAAATAACGATTATGACAATTATCATTTTTCCATAGTACACTTTCACTGAAATATTAATTTAATATGTTTACAAAACATATTTTTACCCATTTACTTTAAAAAATTTAAAAAAAGTTTAAAAATAACGATTATGACAATTGTCACTTTTCCATAGTACACTTTCACTGAAAAATTAATTTAATATGTTTACAAAACATATTTTTACCCATTTACTTTAAAAAATCTAAAAAAAGTTTAAAAATAACGATTATGGCAATTGTCACTTTTCCATAGTACACTTTCACTGAAATTTTAATTTAACATGTTTACAAAACATATTTTTACCCATTTACTTTAAAAAAACTTAAAAAAGTTCAAAATGAACGATTATGACAATTGTCACTTTTCCATAGTACACTTTCACTGAAATATTAATTTAACATGTTTACAAAACATATTTTTACTTACTTTAAAAAATCTAAAAAAAAGTTTAAAAATAACGATTATGACAATTGTCACTTTTCCATAGTACACTTTCACTGAAATATTAATTTAATATGTTTAAAACATATTTTTACCCATTTACTTTAAAAAATCTAAAAAAAAGTTTAAAAATAACGATTATGACAATTGTCACTTTTCCATAGTGCCCTTTCACTGAAATATTAATTTAACATGTTTACAAAACATATTTTTACCCATTTACTTTAAAAAATCTAAAAAAAGTTTAAAAATAACGATTATGACAATTGTCACTTACTTTTCCATAGTACGCTTTCAATGAAATATTAATTTATGATGTTTACAAAATATATTTTTACCAATTTACTTTAAAAAATCTAAAAAAAGTTCAAAAATAATGATTATGACAATTGTCACTTTTCCATAGTGCACTTTCACTGAAATATTAATTTAACATGTTTACAAAACATATTTTTACCCATTTACTTTGAAAAAACTCAAAAAAGTTCAAAAATAACGATTATGACAATTGTCACTTTTCTATAGTACACTTTCACTGAAATATTAATTTAACATATTTACAAAACATATTTATATCTATTTGCTTTAAAAAAACTCAAAAAAGTTAAAAAATTACGATTATGACATTTGTCACTATTACCTAAAAAATTATCTATCAAAAGATATATAATAGATAAAATTACGTAAAATTTAAATATATAATAATCATTTTTAAAATATATATTAAAAAATATTAATCAAAAAATTTAAAAAAATTTATTAAAAAAATATATTAAAAAATATCAATCAAAAAAATTTATTTAAAAAAATTTATTAAAAAACATCAATCAAAAAAATTTATTAAAAAAATTATATAACACAAATTAAAAAAAATAGCGATCAAAAGATATATCAAATATAAATTTTGTTGCGTTATTCCTTTATCTTATTTTTTGTTTTGTGCATTTGAACTTTTATTATTTTTGATATAATCTAATTTTATTTTATAAACGGCGTAACCTTACTTTTTTATATATTATTTTACTTTTTTGTATTTCGTTTTATATTCTAATTTATATATTAGAAAATGTATAAATACCTTTAACAAAAGAAAAAGAAGTTAGTTAATAAAATATATTTTTTATTTAATAAAGTTAATAAAACTTATTTATTATTCACCGGCACATATTCATGTTATTCTACATGGTGCCTCCAGTTTTGGCATAAGAAACTCGCCTTATGGAAATATTTAAAAATAAAATTTTTTTTTTCCCTTTGTAAATATGGTTAATAAAAAAAATTATAAAATGGTACAAACAATTCTATATAAGATGGATAAAAAAAAGGGTAAGTCATTTCAAAATTATTTTCATCAATTATGTTCGCCTTCAAACTAATTAATGTACCCCATCAAATCTCCATATACGATATTTTGTTTGAGTTAACCTATAATTCCGATGTCACCTTTTATAGGATAGACGGTACGGAGGACGTGTTGTTTGAATTTATGAACTTAAGAGATATGATTAATTGTTTCGAATTGTTAAATGGGAAACATTACATTTATGGTGACAATGATTTCATTGAATTAATCTGTATATTTACCAAAACATGAATAGCTATACCAAAAATTTGAATTGATAAAATAATAAATGTTATAATTGCTTATTTATGTGTCTTATTAATTAAATATGGAAATTAAACAAGAATTTACACATAAGATCCCTAAGTTAGTGGGTCCTCTTACTGAAATTTATTTAGACAGAATATTAAATTACTTTTCGACCAGTACATTATCGGACTCTATTAAAATTAATACTTTGCTTAATAATTTATCAGACGAAGTTTTTGATGACATTAAGGCAATTTGTTCTGATACCGATATTTTAGATCTTAAAATTGTGATTAAAAAGTTAACCTATCTTTTACCAGCGCTAAATTTAAATACTTTAATTAATAAATTTAATCTTCTTCAACAAAACTCATCAGAGAGTTTTATGCTGTGGTACATTAGAGTATCGAAACTTCATAAGAAATGTAATTTTTTGGACGATAGTAGATTAAAAGAGAAATTACGGACATCTACTTTAAACGATAAAATTAAATACAAATTCTCCAAAAATTTTGACCTTACATTGAATCAGATGGTGGAATTAGGGGTGAAACTGGACTCTAGTAATATTAAGTCTGAGGATAATGATATAAGTTATATAAATAATGATAAAAAGTCCGATAAAGATAAAAATTTTTGCAGTAGAAATGATAATAATTTTCGAAATAATTTTAGAAATAATTATGATAATAGATATAGAAATGGGAATTACAATAATAATTTTAGATACAATTATGGTAATAATAATTCGCGATACCACGATAATTATAACAATTATAACTATAACAATTATCGCTATAATAATAATAATCAATCGAATTTTGGTAGAAATAATACATGGTATGATTATAATCAAAGAAAAC